CACACACACACACACACACACACACACACACACACACACACACACAGTCAGGAACAGGTAGCAGGTGTTTAATGAGACCTGTGGTCTGTCAGGTACCTTCAGATCTCCAACAGCTGCATCAAATCCAGCAGAGACCAAAACCAGCTGAGGCTGAAACTGGAGAGACACACACTGACTGCAGCAGCACAACAACACAATGGTTACAGTGTGTGTGTGTGTGTGTGTTACCTGGGACTTGCAGTGAGGCCCAGTACAGACACTGAGCTGAGACGGTCTGAGAGATGGACTGCAGAGCACTAAGACACGGGTCAGAACAGGAGTCAGGACTAGACCCAAAGCAAGAGTCCACATAACGACGACCACCTCATCGTCCAATCAGCTGCTTCTTATCTGCCTTACCTGTCAGAGGGAGCAGTGGGCGGAGTCAACACAGGACAGGCTCCACCCAGCAGAGCTCTGACACAGGCTGCAACACTTCCTGCTGTGGCCTGCAGGTTGTACCCTCCCTGTGAAACAAACACACAACGTTCATGTCCAGAGTGTGTTTCACATGTTTCCTGTTCAATAACCTGTAACGTCCTCATGGAGCAGTTTGTGTCACAGCCAGCAGCAACAAAAACAACCATCAACCACAAACACACAACAATCAACAAGAAGTAGTAAAATGACAATAACAGCAGGTAAAAAGGATTTCTTAAATCTGTTGGTTCGACATGTTTTCACAGCACATCTGTGTCCTGATGGTGAAAGAGAAAACATTTTGTAGAGGGGTGGTCAGGCTCAGCTAAAACTGCCGCAGCTTTCTTCAACGATCTGTTTCTATGGAGAGCAGTGATGTCATTTAATGGGACATTAACGATTTTACTGCAAAGACTGACATATGGTGTATGTGTTTTTTGTTTTTCTGTGTCAAAAGCCCATACCAGCAAATAAAAGAACAAAGAACAGAATCAATAAAACATCCTCATAAAACTACTGTCCATGTTAAAACTGCTTCTTTATGATAAAAGTACATCCTGTTTTATGATAAAAGTACATCCTGTTTTATAATAAAAGTACATCCTGTTTTATAATAAAAGTACATCCAGTTTTATGATAAAAGTACATCCTGTTTTATAATAAAAGTACATCCTGTTTTATGATAAAAGTACATCCTGTTTTATAATAAAAGTACATCCTGTATGTTTACAGGCTCTGTCACAGATGTGTCCACATGTTTAAAGACAGTTTGTTGTCAGTTACAGTCCTCAGTTGTGTTTCACTGATCTAACTGCACCACTCCAGGTCTGCTCTGATGACTGTACTGAACTGCTGTACACATGGTTTATAGATTTTATTAAATATTTTTCCTTTATCCTTTGTATTTTCTTCATTTGTTATATTTTATACCTATTGAACCTTTACAGGCTGTGAGTCCTGTTGATTGACAGCAGCAATAAAACTGATTCATGGTTTTAACAATTAAAGATGTTTTACCTCCAGAGCCAGAACGAGTCGACCTTCAGCCAGAGACATCAACATGTGTGTGAGAATGTGGAAACACGGAGGACTCACACACATTTCCCCCTACACACACACACACACACACACACACACACACACACACAGACACACACACACACACACACACACTTCTTCATTTCTTTGTTTTATTTTGAAATCCTTACGTTGCTGAGCTTTAGTCTGTCTTCCAGTAAATTTTAATTTATTTTTTTTAAATTTGCCACATCCTGAATGAATCAACATCACTTTAAGTTTCTCTTTTATTTAATTTTTACAAATACATGATATAAGATCTGAACTCTGTAACATCACATGTGGAGTTCCTCAGGGTTCTGTGCTTGGACCAAAGTTGTTTATTTTYTATGTGAACGACTTGGTTAATGTGTCGGGTTGTTAAAATGTGTATTATTTGCAGATGATGCTACATTTTTATGTTTGGGTAAAATTATAGACCAGGGCCCGTATTTATCAAACTTCTTAGAGTGGATTTTTAGACAGATAAATGTGTGTGGCTTTTGGAGAACATATTAAATAATTAAATATACTCAGCTGGTAAAATAAATAAAAATTACAGTGGGATTTAACTTTTCCTTTATTATATTAATGATCAAGCAATACAATGATGGACCGGGGCGGAGGGGTGGGGGCAAACGAGAACATTTTGTGTAATTTACAGACAACATTAGTGTGTTGAAAGTAGGGTTGGGCAATATTGGCAAAAAAAAATCACGATTAATTGTGGTATTTAGCCGATAACGATTAATTTGGCAATTAATCCCCTGGACACCCTTATGTCCTGGTCACATGACCAATTTAGTGGGAAAGATTTGTTCTTCATAAAAATCTGTTCCAAATTGTGTAAAAATTACAGACTTCAYGCTGTGCATCAAATTTTAAATTGTGTTGATAGATAAATTACAGAACTTTTTTTTAATGTTGATCATATTTGACTGGAGAAATCCCCAGTTAGTCTGCCTGGCGGCATTTATCATATTAATCATCAAGTGCCAAAAAGTAATCGATTAATGTTTTTCTGACGATTAATTGCACACGATACGATTATGCCCAACCCTAGTTGAAAGTGAACTTATCTTAGGATTTTCACAGTTTTATCTTGACATTTCTCCAACAATATTCTTGAACATGTAATCCAAGGCAGTGATTGGTCCATGCCGGTGTTTTTTTTCTAACGACGTCATCCAGAATCAGCTTTGTGGCACAGCCAGGTGTCACAGATCAGCTCTAAGACTGACACTTAAGATTTACTCCTACACTTCACTTAAAGTAAGACTGACACTTAAGAATTAAGATTTACTCCTACACTTCACTTAAAGTAAGACTGACACTTAAGAATTAAGATTTACTCCTACACTTCACTTAAAGTAAGACTGACACTTAAGAATTAAGATTTACTCCTACACTTCACTTAAAGTAAGACTGACACTTAAGAATTAAGATTTACTCCTACACTTCACTTAAAGTAAGACTGACACTTAACACTTAAGAATTACTCCTACACTTCACTTAAAGTAAGACTGACACTTAAGAATTACTCCTACACTTCACTTAAAGTAAGACTGAGACACTTGATAATTGACTTTTACTCTCAGCTTTTAACTAAGAATTATTTTACACTTAAGTCCACTCTTAGCAGCATTCTTAAAAATAATTTTAGGAAGTTTTATAAATACGGGCCCAGATGTTGGACATGGTACAGACAGAATCTGTTAAAATACAAACTTGGTTTCAACTTAATACATTATCATTAAATTTGTATGAAACTAATTACATGATATTCAGTAATAGAAGAACTGTTGATGTTCCATTTAGAGTTGATGATGCTGAGATCTGCAGTCAGGGCGGTGAAGTTTCTGAGTGTTATCATTGATGACAAGCTGACATGGAGTTGTCACATACATTATTTAAGAACAAAAATATCTAAATCTACTGCAGTACTGTATAAATGAAGGAGTTATTTAATGATAAAGCACTGTTTATATTATATAATGTAATAATTGTTCCACACTTGATCTACTGTATTGAAGTCTGAAAGCATGTAAACAATTTCAAATCCTATTTTTATTTTACAGAAAAGAGCCGTAAGAATTATCACCAAAAAACATCACAGTCACCATCAAATATATTATTCTGTCAACTGAAAATATTAAAACTTTATGAGTTGGTTGACTATAATATTTTGCTGTTTACGTATAAAGCTCATAAAACATATTGCCTTCTAACATCCAATCACATTTTGATAAGAGGGAGAGTTATTATAATCTTAAGGGATTAGAAATGTTTGTAAAACCTAAAATTGGAAGTACTTTGAAGGACAGATGTACTTCAGTCAAAGGAATAAGATTATAAAACAACAAAGATTATAGAAATGCTGGCTCAATGTTTTGTTTAAGACAATGATAAAAGTTAGTTTGTTAACGAAATATAAAATTGTATAATGTGTAATTTGATTGGAAAGTATTGTAAGAATAGTGGGGTGAGACCCAACCAGCAGGGGGCAACATGGCGCAGCAGCTTTCTGTCTTCCTGTGGAGCTCCTTCATTGCCACACGGTCCTGTCCTGTCTCAGCTTTACTTACCTGGATTACAGGAAACTGACCTGCTGACTCGTACATATTCATACGAGCTGCTGTTCATGAAGGAGCTGAAGTTTTTCTTTTGGTTTGTTACTTCAACAGTAATATTGTTTAAAATTATTTTTTGGAAAATAGGGTCTGGATCAGCACCAGGCTGCTGATGGGTCAGTGTTGGAGGGGTGAGGGGGTTACCTGGGATCCTCCTGGAACAGGTACTGGATCCCCTGACCGTGATGGACGTCCCAGTCCACGATCAGCACCCTGACACACACAGAAGAAAGGAATGAGCTGCCGGTTGTTGTTTTAGTAGAACCAGTCACATTTTTAGAACAAATTCTTATGATCCAAAATCTGCCCTGAGCTTATAAACACTTATTATCAGCTTTAACACATTCAAACATGAAAACTTTATTTATAAAACAAACACTGTGTCAGACAGGAAGTGAGTGTCACAAAAGCCAGAGACATGAAGATGGAGCAGTGTTTCTTCAAAACAGATTCACACCACTGGAAGAACCTGAGTCTGAACAAAGTTCATCTTCTGACCTCAGAGAGGGACCTGAGACCAGATCCAGATCCAGATCCAGATCCAGCTCAAAGCAAGTCCAAAAAAAGTCTTTCAAGAATCAAGAAATGCTGATCATCACAGATAAAATGGTGAATGAGATCAGAGGCTTCTGGAACAAGAAAAAGGTCAAAGTTCTGAGTTTTGCTGATAAAGTGTCTGACCTCACAGAGAAGATTCTGGAAATCACAGCTGAGTATCCAACTCTGAAGACCCTCATCATTCATACAGGAAGTGATGAAGTGATGAACCGACAGTCAGAAATCCTGAAGAAGGATTTTATTCTGCTGCTGAATGCAGTTAAAAATCTCAACATGGATGTGTTCCTCAGTGGGCCCATTCCTACAGCCAGAGGAGGAGCTGAGAGGTTCAGCAGACTGTTGGCTCTTAATGGATTTTTGAAAAAGTCCAGTGCTGACCACTCTGTGAGATATGTGGACAAGTCTCTTCTGGGAAAGAAAACACCTCTTCAGGTCTGATGGAATGACTCTGAATCAAACTGGAGCACAGCTTCTGGCTTCAAACATGAAGTATTATCTGAATCAAGTTCCGGCTGGAACCAAACAACAGAGTGATGAGCTGATGTCTGAAGGACAACAGGAGCAAACTGAGACATCGATGGAACACAAACAAATGGCTGATAAGGAGACAGTTGCAGAATCAGAACCACAGAGAGAGGAGTTACTTCAAGCTGCAGAACCAGAAGAACTGGATTCATCAGCATCACAAACAGAGGATCTGGAAGAGGAGTTTCCCCAAACTGCAACAGGAGAACAACAAGACCTCACTTTCTCTCCACCAGAGGACCTCAAACCTTCTTCCTGTGAGACCCCAACAGGACAGCAAGTGGAATACCCCCTCCTGGATTTTACTAACAACATGGAAGAACCTGGTGAGATTAAGATCCAACTCACATCGTGCCCAAATCCAGCTAACCCTCATCTTCCAGCCCCTGGCACTAAACCAAGATCTACAAAGATTCACAGAGCCCCACCACCACCTCTGACTCTTCCACACATCAAAACAGAAAAGCTTGTTTGTGTTCAAGATGAGCCAAAGACTTTTCTGTGATAATTAGGGCTGCAGCTAACAATTATTGTAGTAATCGATTAATCGACATATATCACAGCGGGAGGTTTATCAGGAGTTTGGCACAGTGTGTCTCCAGGGGATATGAAAGTTGTGTGCGAAAATGAATGCCGAACAACCATGTATTGCGTGTTGTCTGCCAATCGACCATACTGAGCCCTAAACTGTTTGATTGACAACCAAGTGACATCTATAGATTGATTGGAATTAAAGTTTGTTTGGTCAGTGACAAATAAAATTTTGCTTTGCCTAGTTTTCACAAGCACTGAAGAGCTACTTTAAATGAGCTCAGGAGCTACCGGTTGGAGACCCCTGGCTTAAACATACCTCCTCCTTGTACATCTGTAACATGACAGATTATCACATTTAGGTAACCGTATTTTGCAAAGGGAACGTAAACAAATACCTGTTGTTAACTCAGGTCGCATTCGGTACATGCAGCCGCTGTTTTTGTTCCGTGCAGAAACATCGAGGATGTGAAGAGCATTGCTCGTTGTCGTCTTTTCTGTTTAGTTTTAAATGTTCCCATGCTTTTTATAATTTGTCGTTTTCTGAGCGCTTCCTTTCGGCATTCTTTATCTTCTTGCAAAGCTAAATATAGTGCTTAGCAAACATACACGTGTGACGTCTCGACAGTGTAACTGTTAGCAGAAGCGCTAACATTGTAGCATTGAGAGTAACACAAATAACATTCCAGGCAGAGGAAAGTGAGCTGATTATAACAGTGTGTATTTTTTATGAAGCTTCAAGGCAYATAATTTGCCTCGAGAATTTTTTGTAATCAAATTACTGGAACTATTCGAGGAATTGTTCCAGCCCTAATGATAATTAAGTTTTGGGGTTAGTAATTACTGTGGGTGGAATAAAAATTAAATTACTGGGGTTGGGATTTTAGAGAAGTGCATATACTGTGGGTTTGTGTTGACATAATCTTTTAACACATTACAAGTTTTTTTGTTTAGTTTTATTGATCATTTTATGTTCAGATGGGGGAGAGTAATAGAAATAATACCTTAAGGTTTAATCCAGTAATTCATGACATACTTTACTAACCTAGGTTTTCATGGCATGCTGTTTATCAGCAGATAGAATGATTAAAGTCAGAACAAGATCTYCTAACAACAGTCATTCTTAGATATCACTTGTGTTRATCTTTGTGTTTTCCCTTGACCTAGGGTGAAATCTTGTTTTATTAAGATGACATAATAGTGTTTGTAAA